TTTAAAATGGGAATTATAATTCCACTCTATCTGTGATGATGCAAACGTGTTGCAACACACTGATATGAATGCTTGAGGTATCTTACAAGGCAAGTCAGTGTAATGCCATAATCAAGTTAAACTCATCTCCACAGAATACTTAAAAAAAATTAATCACAAGTCATCCTTTCATTGTATGTATAATTATAAATGTTATGGTTAACAAAAAATATCTTTTAATAAAATATCTTTCAAAAATATCTTTTTAAATCCTGTTTTTTCTTTTACTAGCTAGAACTGGTACTTAAAACCTAGTAACTTTCCTGTACATGATATTGGACCAAAGTCTTCAGGTGACCTATGTCACAGGACGTGATGAAATATTTTATCCACCATAGAATTCTGCCCACCTACTAGATTTTTGTACTTTGTGGAGATAGTTCCAGTGTATATTGAAATCTGTTTGCACTAATTGACAGAGCAAATTATTTTTGGAACCATATTTCCAAAGAGCCTCTGAATTTATTCCTTCAATTTTACACATATGGGCTTCCATACCTTTGTGAATTTAATGTTTGTGTTCATCACTCTGACATTTCCTAGCATTGAAGAACCATTTCAAAGACCATTTTTGCACAGGTGATGTTAGAAGTTTCACAAGACAGATTTTAGGAAAGACATTTACATTTAGCAAAATTTTAACATGGAATTTTCTTAGAAGAGAGACTGAATTCCAGACATTAAATAAAAAAAAAAGAAAGAAAACAAAAGTCTGACTCATTTTCTGTGCTTAGTTTCTCTTCTTTAGAGGAGGAAAAGCCTGAAAAGCTTTTGAAAACAAACCTAAATATCACTGAGCTCTTTAGTAAAATCTCTGTGATATATAAGGTTCTGAAATCACAGTACTTGGAAAAAACACAGACAATTGATTAATAATGAGGACAGAAATACAGATGAATTTACTTCTAATGAAGACTGAAGACACAGTAATTAAAGTGTTAAAAATTCATTTCATGCACATTTCATTTGTCTCTTAGCTGATATTTATCATGTAATTCTGTGAGAAAGTGGAGGCCTAAGATGCTCCAGATAAATGTCTCAATTAATTGTACAGAGGTAGCGCTCTTTGAGCTGAACCAGAGCTGTGAGCTCTTTATTAAAAGCACTATTCTGTAGCCTGTAACCTTGTTCCTTGACTCCTCTCTAGTTTCCAATTTAAACAAGTCCCCATGCGGCCCACTCTAAAGGGCTTTGTCTCCCTGTCATTGTTATGAGAGCCAAGGCATCCTGGAAGTGTGAAATCAGACCTCATGAGCTGAACGGTTCCCCAGGGAACACAAGACCTCGCAGAAGGTCAAAGTCATGGGCTGGACCATCTGAAAGCGTCTGATCGCTGGTCTGTGACACAGCAAGAAGGATGGGGGCAGGGGGAGAAAGAGCCAGGGGGCTAGAATTGAACACATCTTAATTAAACCCAAAGACTACAAAACAAGCTATTTTGTAGTCAGGCCATCTTATGAAGCTTGAGTTTTGCTCTTGCTAATTAATCTGAGTTCCTAAATATTATTCCTTAAAAGCACAGCACTTTTGCTGAAATCGATCAAACCTGTGGCACATCTTTTTCCACTCTGCTTACTTTTTATGAATGATAAGGCAGAGATTTTGAATTTTATTTCATGACACAAGGTGCAACGTATCTGCCCCAGTAAAAGAGCAGACACTGCCTTGCAAACCCAGCAGCCTTCCATAACAACCCACCACCTATATATGACTACACTGCAGAAGGATTAGATACATCTGACTATTGCCTAAACCTAAACTATGTCACAGTGAAGGGCCTATTGCTTTACTACCTGTAATTTATATAGGTTAAGTGAAACCCATGTGTATAATGTCAGAAGCCAACTGTCATGATGAGTCCATTATACTTTAGGTTTTACTGAACCACCAGAAAATCTCTTCATATCAAAGGACGTCACTGTAGGCACAGCACCTATCCTTCCAGGGCTCTACAAGCAGCCAAATCCTTGAGAAAGTCTGCCAGAGAAATCACAAGCAAGCAAAGACTTAGGGAAACAGGAATATAACTCCTTCTAACTCAGGATTTAGGGAGAAAAAAGCCATGTACTGAATAGCTAAAACACAATGGAAGACTCAATTGGAAGTTTCTTCTCAGACAGAGAAGGAAAAATTAAACTTCATTCTCAATATCTTCCCATTCATTAGATTACACTTTCAAAGAATTTACACTAAATAATACATGACTTCCAGAAAGGTATATTTGCTGTGACCACAATTTCCAACAGAATATAATTTTGCATTGGTGGAATCCCTAAAATTGAGTATTGATCATGGAACTACACTGTTTTTCTGAGGAAAACAACCTCAGACACCAAATAATTTTCCCAAAGGCCCTGGTCCTGAAAGATACCCTATTTTTCAGCTCTCGCAAAAACCAAGTTAAGCTTTCAAGCACTGGTGGGGAGTCTGTCAACCCCTCAGTGTTTCTTCCTCTCATAGATCTCAGTGGTTCTTCCTCTCATAAATCTCCTGGCAAGTGGGTTGAGTGAGAACTCTGACTGTATTTTTCTGGGGTATTTTTAATATCCACTTATGGCATGTTCATTTCAAAACTGGTAATGTCTACTTGCTCCCCTGCCTACAACTTAACCGAAATTTCAGCTTATCCTGGCACATTATTCATTGCATGTACATGTACGAGGACTGTAAGCTGACACCTGAACCACCACCCTTAATCCCTCTCTTTTTTAAAAAACAGTGCATTTGAAGTGCACTGTGCAACATTAGGCTATTGCAAGTGGAGAAAAAAAACTGCCCTTGGCTATCAACAGTTTATTAAGGGCTTAACTAAAGTGACCTACTAGCATTCCACTGAGGGAGGCTATGAGCTTTCTGAGGAAAGGAGTAGAATTGAGGGTTTCATTAAAAAGTAATTTGTGCTTTTTACTCATTCATTCAACAGGAGTCTCAACTGCTTTTTATTCACACAGAGTTAGTACAGTATTACAATGCCGTTCAGTGCATGGGACAAAGAAAAAATTTCACGTTTTGAAAGGGAAAAAAAGATCTTTGCAATCATAGCAGGATTGATGGCTACTTAAAAGATTACAGAAATCTTTTTCCCTCTGTGCATACACTTAAGAATGGAATATTAAGGATTTAAAAAATCTACTCAGCTCAAATTAATAAATTTTGATTTTTTTACTTCACATGAAAAGATTCCTGGAAATGAAATGAGATATGTTTAGCAGACAGGAAACAGAGCAAAACATACAGACACAATATAGTTGTTCCAGCTGCTTTTCAGACTCAGGGGCAAAAGATTAACTCTGAAAACACACTACAGTAAGATAAGCAAACTAGTCCTTGGCTTTTACTCATAGGAGCAATCCTTAGTAGTGCAAGTAACACCACTGATGACAGCACTTTCCACACTAATTACTTAGTTGAACAAATGTGGGTCAAGTTTTTACACAGTTTTTGCAAACATGATTTATTGACAAGCACCAAACACCTACTTTATTTCTCACTATTACTATTCGAAGTTTAATTTTAAATGAATGACCTGTACATAACTACAAGTTACTAAAAATAGTTATAAATTACAACAGCAGGTAATAAAACCACTTCATCCTCTTTTCAAAATTCCGAGTTATTTCTGTCCAGAATATACAAGATTTCTGTCACATCTGGAATGTGCAGCCATCTTACAAAATACATCTGCTGTATCAACCCTTTTTCTTACTAACAAGGGAAGATAGTGAGTATTCTCCCCATTTAGGATGACAGGAGTCTGTCATCCTAAATACAATATCTGAAAATTTTTGGTAGCTCTATACATCTTTAATTGAATCAAATATATTTCCAAAAATATTGTTCAACCAGCACAAATAATATGTTGATTTGGAAAAACTAAAGACTGAACGAGGTCAGGGACTAAATTATCCCATTTGCCCCCAGGTAACTTAATCTCTCTCTCTGTGTTCAGAAAACATTGGATTATAAGGTCAAACCAGACTTTAGAAGCATTTCTACAACCTCACCAAAAATAGAATCTGTTATTTTGTGTGCCACAAGCTGGATGATCAAATGTTTGCACTGATAAAATGTTTGCACTATTACCTTGTCTGAAATACTGGTAGTCATGTTAATTATCACAAAACTACTAAAAATTGTGTAAGTTGCTCTATAGCTGCTCCTTTAACAGAACATTTATTCTAGTTTTCTTTTACTTTCTTCCCATTTTTTAAAATTGTCATTATTATTTTAAATCAGAGATGGCTATTTTCCGACTCAGATGCCACTCATTTTGTTCCATTCAACTTATGCACTAGGAAGGTGATTGTGCCTACAATTGTGGAGATAACTTGGACATTGCTGGAGAAATATGGTCAGTATGACTGAAATACTTTTTCTTTATTTTGCAAGGCAGTGTGTCAAATTAACCATTCAACTTTTAACATAAAATAGAAAATTTTAAAAAAATCTTATTTCCCTTATCTTGTAAAGATAAGCAGTAGCTACAGCAAATTGCATCCAGTTGAAATGTCTGAAACCAACAACAGCCTTGCTAAATATCAGACAGATATCAAGTGGTTCTTTTGGCAACAATTTTAAGTCTGGAATATCTAAGTCAGGAATCTTTTATTTGCCTTGTACTTTGGAATTTAATGTTGATAATTTTGTATGGTTTCATCTACTAAAATAAAACAAGTTTCTTCTATGTAATTTTTATAGGCTGTCTGATGGACAAAAATGTATATTTCATCTTTATCAGAAACAATCTACTTAGGGCTCTGCTAGCATAAGAATAACTTGCTGCCTTACTCACAAAACTTTCATTTATGTTTACATTTTTTCATTAATGAGCAGGAGGAGGAAGTGCACAAACAGAACATAACCTGTAGGTTAAATTTTTTTTTAGCATTTTTTTTCACAGTTCTAAAACCACCAAATATTACTACGGTATTCAGTGTCACAGAAACTAAATGAATGCTTGCCTGTGACATCAGCTGCCATCAATGCTTCTGCCCTGATGACCTTCACCTGCAGAAATCCCACATCGCTGATGTTATGAAACATCATCATTGGACTCTAAAAAATAATAAAAAGAAAAATAAATCTGGATTGCAAAAGAGACAAACCAAAAGCAATGTTAATACTCTCCTCCCTCGCCCAGATGTAAGTTACTGTAATTCTGCCTCAATACTCAGACTTTTAAATATTATTTGCTGAAGAATGTGCAGTTTTTGCATTTCTTCCTATATTTTGCAACTTTAACTTATCAATGAAAATTATAAAGGAAGAGTTAGAATATGACTGATTAAGACAAATTCTAGTGAATTAATCCCCTAATACTGTGGGAATAACTGTTCTTCAAAATTTGAAATTATAGCAGTATATAAAGAAATTAACACAAAAAATTAAACAACTCCTTTCCCTGAATTATTTTGCAAGAACTATGTTCACATTTGCCCTCTGATGGCTCCATTATTATCTTGAGCAGTGACCTAGGGAAAATATAGATTTCTGTAGTTGACTATTGCATGCAAACTTGCATATACCATATACAACTGTAATAAACTTGTGAATAACATCAGCAAAAGCAATCAAAAGAGAATAACAACTACTTAATAACTGTAATAATAATCACATGCAGAAAGGATAAAAAAAATAATTAAAATAAGTTTCAATTCCATGGCAGAAAGCTCTTAATATAAATAATTATATTTTTAGCACAAATTTCTTCAATATCTACATGTATTAAGAAGAGGAAGAAAAAAGAGTTCACTACACTAACACTTGCATTTATTCATCCAACACAGTTTTAGAAAGCTTATTAAAAACTATGTTCCACTGCTGCTCTTTTTTCAAGTAACTAAAACTAACAAACTGGGAGTATTGCACTAATTATGTGTGACATGTTATAATTCTCAAACTCTAGCTTTTAGTATTATTTAAAATTTGCAGTTATAAATTATAAAACATTGAATGCAAATTTCATTCATAAATACTAGCTCATACCTTTAGTTTTAAATATTTTAAAATCCGGACTAATCTATTTAATGCCTATGATCCTCTCTAAAATTTCTATGTGGCAAAACTTTTTCTACTGCCTATGATAATGTCCAGATTTCCACAAAAAGCAAGCATTGGGGAAAACATCAAATCAACAATTCCTTAATTTATTACAAAAGCAAAATTTACATTATGGGAAATGAGAATAAATTTCATCACTGAATTTAAAAACCACAGATGCTGCTTAAATGAAATTTTAAATGTCAGCTTGCAAAATCAGTATGCTTTTGCACAGAAAATCTACCCATTAGGAGGTTAGACATACAATATGTATTCCTGTCTTTCTAATTAATAAGACAATTCTAACAGTTAAATCACACTGATACTAATTTCATAAACCCTAGCTGACCATTTACTGTTTACAGCGAAAATTTGACCTTGCTACACTGAACTTAAAAATCCAATTCAGTATAGTAGCCCATATGTTACATACATGCATTGTGTTATAACGGGATAACAGTGAATAATTTTTTACCAATTTTAATAAGTCATCATAAATATGACTTCAAAATACACTTGTGGTCAACTTTAATAAGCACACACTCAACCTCTTGCTTATGTGCTTACAAGCTGAGGGCAGCAGAGATGGTATTACAGACAGCCCTGGTGTAATTTAAAAGCATCTTTGCACCCCTCATTTATTACAATGATGATCAGGGTTTGGAAGCTTCTTACCAGAACTAGTACCAGAACAGAGATTATTCTGCTGTAATACACAAGATGAAAGTCAACAGGACTTACAAAAATGTTTCCACAGTCTACCCAAATTTTCCAACAACCAAAACAAACATCAAGTTGCAGAAATAAAACAAAGCAAAAACGGAATACAAAGCAAGACAAGCAATGGCAGCCACTTCTTATGATGCTATACAGTCCCCTTTTTCCAAATTTCATCCTGGTTAGCTCACTCTTCAAAAGGATGCCAGTGCTGTATTTTGCTTTGCCACCTTTGTTAGAATCCCACAGAATTTTTTAACCTTTATTTCCAGAAAGTAGCTGGCTTAGATTCATTTGCTGCACATACTGACTGGGTAGAGTGATGAAAATGAATACAATGCCACAACAGAGGCTCTTGGAGAAGTAAATTACTTTAACACATTACTTTAAATACATAACTCTAAGTAATGATTTATCAGATGATATTCTGCCTTCTTTTTTATGATTATTGTTGAAGGTATCAAAAATCCGCATAGTTTCTGAAGCCTAGAATTTCCATAGCAGAAGAATCTGCAATTTGCTGGGAATCTTTTCAGCCCTCAATAGATGGGAAAAGATTGAAATGCTCTGGAGATGACTCTTCTTTATTTTTTTAATGAAAGACTGTATAATATATTTTCTGTATGGCTGCAGCAGCTGTCAGGAAGAGCATCTCAGTTCAGCTCTATTATGGGAGAAGCAATACCCCATCCCATGGCATTGAGATACACTGAGGGGCTAGTACTGATTGACAGCTTGTCACCATGACGTCTTATTCCATCTCTGTTATGGAGAAAATTAATGTCACACCACCAGCCTCATGACTCGCTGTCATCTTAGAACTGCTCACCTTTTATCAATGCTCTAAATAACATTTCAAGCCCATCGTCTCACAGTGGACAATCTGGTCAAGGGACATTAAATCGGATGACTGTGAAATGTCATAATAAAAATGGAATGCTAACAACTTCTCTAAACTAGCTCCTCTGCTTTTTAAACTGTGACAAGGGGGACCATGAGTTCAGCACACCAGTTCTGAAAAGGTCATACAATCTCTCTTGGTCTGTACCCATTAATGTGCCCCCCTCCTCACCCCAAAAGGAATTAATCTTTTCAGACAATCGTGGTAAAATAATAGTTCAAACAGTAATGCCTATTTAATTTGTAAGGCTCTGATGTTCAGCTACAAATGGTTAAGTGACAGTAATAGAGTCATTTTCTAAGGCTATTTGATCTGATGGCTAGGTCAGCTCATTAACTGTTTTTGGCCGTAGAAAGGGTGCAAAACACATTTCTCAAATGGAAGCTAGATTTTTTTGAGAGGAAATAAATCCAAAAAAACAAATCCAGCCACTCAACAGGGAACTCTACATCTTGCTAATGACACATGCTGTCTTTGTATTGGTTCTGAAGTGCAGGTATGAATATCAAAGTCAAATTTAACATCAGTAAAAAGAAACTACTTGAATTAAGTTAATCCTGTTAATTTCTTTCTTTTGCTGGTAATTTTAATAAAACCAGTAGAATTTATCAAAAAAGAAGGCAAATGCAACAATTTTCAGAAACACATAATGAGAAACTCATACCTCTGCAATATGAACATCTTTCTAAAATTTAAATGTTTTCAAATGCATACACCAATGCAAATATACGACAGACAAATATCCTTGTATTTACAGGAAACAAGAATAAACCAGATCAATCTTATGCCACATAATTATGCTTTACAAAAAATTGAGGATTTAGGAAAAACTATTAACAGTACAGTCACAACATGTTTCTATACGGCTACTGAAACAATCAAAACCATCAGTACCACTCGTCTGCCATATCATCACACTGAATAAGCCACAGAAATATGTTATTGTTGCTGTTGGTAGCAGGAACTATGGCACCTCAAAAACATATCCATCAAAAAATTATTCTACTTATGGACATCTATTTTGACAACCACAGACTGTCTTGGTGGATTCCAAAATGCACAGTAATTCCCTTAATTGTAATTATTTTTCAGAGGTGGTGGACAATACCATAGCCTTCAATTCATTTTGGAATATTATACTTAGCCTCACTAAGTCACCTCTATTAAACTGTATTTATGATAATAACACTACTGGTGTATGAGTTGTACAAGCATTAGCAGACAGCTGATTCAGTGGAGATAGACAGAATAAATTTGCTGAAGCACACATCCTGCTAATCTGTTTGAAGAATATTGTACAGCATTAGTGCTAGGACTTCATGTTATCTGCACAGCCTGATAAGGTACATCTTTATTAAATTCAGTTATTGAAAGGATGTCCGTTATGGAATAGGAATATTTTAAAATCTCAAAAATAAATTAAGCAGCCTCTTTGATAGTCAGAGGTTGGTTTAATGGCTGAGTGTCTAGAGAAGCCCTACTAAACACCTGGCAGCATTGTAGAATAAAAGCTTTGTAACTGCAAGTGGAAATAGCATTTTTTCTTTCTTTTTTCATGTGTAGTGAGACAGTTACTTTTGGTGATTTAGGTATTAGCAAATGCTGGAGTAAGAGCTCCCCTCTCTGTTGCTTTGATAAAATTACAAAGACTGTGTAATGTAAGGACACTAGGAAATTAAAATAATCTATTTCAGAATATTTTAAAATGGAAACATTGTTTGAAACAATCATTTTTATGTGCTCCAGCCTCTTAATATTTTAAGACAAAAAACAAGTTTTCTTGCCCTTTAACAGATGATCCCAAAAAAAGCTGAAAACCATTAGTACCTCAAATTATTTGGCATAAACAATCACTAGAAACTGTTGAGTTGCTGAATGATCCTTTAGCCACTTTGTGTTTCGTCAAAATCATCTGCAAGGCTGTAAAATTACCTTCATTATGTGACACCTTATCAAGCAGTTCAATTACCATGTAAAAAATAATGTTATTGTATGAAGGGCAATTGCAGCCTTCTTGATGTTACCTGTTCTGGCTGTAACTATTTGTATATTAGTAGCTAGTTTTAAGTGATTGTCATTGACTAGGTGTGATTAGAATAGAAGAGATATATTTAGATTTTCCCCTCACTAGTTATTTTTTATACAGGCCAACATTTTGCTGACAAAGGATGAAAGAGAACTTCATACATATCTCTTCAGAATCTCCTCTCGCTCCTTCTGGTCCTCCAGGGAGTTGATGGAGAGGTCAGAGATAGTGACTGCAGCTGATGCTGTGAGAGTGACCAGCAACACCAGGTATCCCTCTCCCTCCTCTAGCGGCATCTCCAACTTGTGGGTTTGTTCTTTACTCAGAGTTGACAGGTCAATCTGGCACCTAGAAACATACGTTCTCCATCAGCATGTGGTTTTTCTCACACCAAAAAATAGCACATTGAGCACGTTGGCTCACTTGCATTCAAACGGACAAAAAATCCAAGTAAGCAGAAACTCCTGCCCAGCTTTTGAAAAAGATCTTAATTTCTCTTCAGCTTTAACCCATGCCCTTATTTCTTTTTTTTAGAGCTACCCAAACAGTTTTGAAATGAAAAATCAATCTTAATAAGAATGTAAAGACACTAGAGACAAGTTTAGCTAATATTTCTTACTCAAATGCAGTCAAAGAAAATTTTAAAAGATCCAGCTCAGATGCAAATGTTATTTTTAATTGCACATCTTGTATACATGCAAAATGTAAGTTATCACAGGAACAGTTTTCACCTAACAACAGTAAAAACCCCTTTCTTAAAAAATATCATTCTACATGGATTTAATTGTGATGGCATAAAGATTACTGAGCATAGAAAAAACTCAACTTATGCATCCTCTGAAAGGCTCAGCTCTCATGCAGTAAGCTGTGTGTGGGTCAAATCCTCATGCTGGCACCCAGGGTAAAATCTGATGCCACAAACCCCTATATAATAAAATGTCTTAGGCTGTAATGAGCAGGAACTACATATAACTGTGCAGAGTGTGTGCAGAGTGCTGAAGCAAATCTGCCCTGCTTGATCTGCTTCTGAGTAACTCTGGCTGTACCATACACTGAACTAATGAAGAATGATTCCATACATGCCAGACAGCAGAAACAGCTTTGCAACAGGAATGTAAGTTAAAGGAAGGAAAAAAAGTATCTCTGCTACCCAAGAGCTGACTAAAACCTTTTAAATAAAACAATAATATCTTAGTGTCAATTAGTCTGTGCACAGCTTAAATGTTTGAATACTTTAATTTGTACAGTGCACAAGTTTCAACTTCCCTAGATTGCAACTTTGAACATGTATTGAAATTCAATGTCTGTATCAAATGTAATGCCAGTTTGCATTGGACAGGAATTTCTGTGAAAAAGCACTATTCAGAATACTTATAGTATCCCAAGCTGAGTTTTGCCAACTTTTTGCTCTAAATGAAAACACCAATAATACTGAAATAAAATAAATGTATATATTTTATGTGTAGGTTAGCAACTCTACACTCTACTTTCAACAGTGATTATTTAATGTGACAAGCATATGTACTACATGCCACTAATTCACTAAACTAAGCATCAAGCAAACTCTTTTCATAAAATGTCAATTGATTTTGAAGACGAAGACAATGTGGTCATTACAGGGGCAATAAAATAAAGAAAAAAGGTGGCTGACATGAAAATATGGCCATTTAGGGATAGGAAATAGCCAATTATGAGAATAAATGCAGCCTCATAAAATGATCATTGTGCTATCACAGGCAGACCAGATTTACTTTTGTTTTTTCAGAGACATTTATTGCCCGTTGTGCAGTTAACTAGTGCAAAGCTCATACAGTAACAAGGTTCAATTATCTTACAATAAAAAAAAAATTCTAACTCATGTAGCATTCAGAGCTTAATGCTTTTCTTCTATTTTGAACTCTTTGGATAATAGGGAGTGAGAAATTAAATTAGCAATAGTAAGGAAAAATAATGCTGTTGCTATCAGCGCAGGCTGATACTCAATATAAGCTCCATACATGTACATAAACAAGTCAAATTCTTATTTAGGATGCAGTGAGGAATTTAAAACCCTCCTTAAGACAACAAATATTGTGATTAAACATTCAAAGTTGTAGCAGGTTAAAAGACCCCCAGTATTCAATACTCTTCAATAATTTATTTCAAAACAGATACCCCTCAAAAACAGAACTCAGCAACAATATTGAGTCTTCAACAAATAAACATTTAAAGAACCAGCCTAAACTCCCTTAAATTCAGCAAAAGGCTCAGAAAGTCATTATGATAATAATGGAGAAATAATCTACCCCTCACGCAAAAATAGGCAACAAAAGCTAAAACAGGCAACAAAAGCTACCCCATACATACCCCTCAGAAAAAAACAATGAGTGTAAAATTACAAGGTCTACATCAGGGCTACTAGATCTAATTTCTTCAATTCTTGAAGCTACAATCCTTTAACAATATGAGTAGTCCAGTTTTTTTATTTAGGCTGAAAGAAGAAACCGGAAATATGTTTCTACCTGTGCACCTTTCCTAAAGAAATGAAATATTTCTAATAGCATCACATCTAGAATAGATTACCTGAAAAATATATATCTATCATCTGCTTGATAAATCTTCATAAACAGGCCATTACTAGCTTGTTATTTCCTAAAATCATACAAAGGCAGGAAGAGATCTGGAAAAAATTTTCCAGTAAAAAGCTTTAAACATTTTAAAGGCAAATTATTCACTCAAGTACCCTCACAAAATTTGATAAAAATATAGGGTTATTCCATTAAGGACTGTCATCTTTGCACTTTACAGAAGTCCAGGTTAAGAGCACTTTAATGCACATATGGTCAGGTGAAAGCAGATTTCTCACCCCCTGCCAGGTGCTCTGCCCTGGCCTTGAAAGAGATGCAGCTTACATGTGGCTGAATTGAAACTGCTGAGGCTCAAGGAGCACCCAGCACAAGGGGAGCCTATTTACAACACATGCACTTCAGTAAAATGGTAAGACTTTCCAATCTACAGACACTGTAAGAAAAATTGCAATTTTTTCCAATTAGTACTTAAGTTTTTTATGATAAAAAATCAACTTCATTTGGTCTCATGCCAAATTATCATAAAAATCAAAAAATAATAATTTTTGTTCATTCTCCTCTGTCCTCATCAGATCTTTGTGCAGGAACAAAAAAAGTGAAGGAAGGCTGGTTTTATTAAGGTATTACCTAAACACTAAACTTATCCTAGAATAATCTTGACAGACTCCAAACTCCTTTTTGTACTACAGTTTTTTAGAAGGACTGAAGCTAACAATACATTTCCAAAAATATGCATCTGTTTGGAAAATATCTGTTTTCCAAATGTAAAGATCTTTGGAAAGCTCAAGCTGAGAATGTCCCTTTATATTTTACTGAAATTATATTCAAGTATTCCAAACTTTAAAGCTTTAGCAATGCTGACTTTTGTATCAGTTAAGATGTTCTCTAAAAAGACATTTGTTTCCTACAACTGTGTCTCCATGGGGAACAAAGATACTTTGAGAATGAAGGTGAACTTGTACGTTACCAGAAAGTGGTGCAGAACAAATAAGAATTTTTTTCCCCATATTCTCAAATTGAGGACCATGAAAAATTGCACCCATTTTGAGAAGGCCAAAAGCTGCATATGACCAGCAGCTGTCACACTGGAAACATGAGAAAATAGTAACTTTGTACAATCCTGTTTCTAAAGGAATTTACATGGTGCTGGTAAGGGCAAAGACTTTTTCCACCTGTAATGAGATCAGCCTTAAGAATTATTGAAAAAAATTTACCATTAACTCCACAGACAGACTTCCAAGCATGACTATAAATCACATTGCAGGTATCTGTAGTTTTTAGTGCAGTTTGAGTTTTTTGTATCTTCCATGCTGTATGGCTCCTTCAGTGCACACGGGTTTCAGCACTTCAAGTGGTGAGCAGGAGCACTAGAACAATTTCCCTGGCTGGCTGGCCTTTCGGAAAGAGGCATAGGGGCACGTATCCCACCTATCCGTTCTGCATGTGAACACTACCAGACACCATGTGTAGCTGGATTTTCAGGACTTGAGAGATCAGAAGGGAGAAAAACCACAAAGTGCAACAAGCTCATGTGCCAAAGTTATCACAGATGAATTGCTCAAAAACAGGGTACAGCTCTCATGGAGGAAGATTTGAAGGTTCAAGGGGAATCTACCACTTGTCTGAAACTGTGTTTAATGTGTTAATCACACAAAATTTTAGAAATATATTTCAGATTTATTTTTAATTTGAATATATCTGGCCTTTGGTTCTTTTTATGCCTTTCCTTACAGGTTGAAAAACCCTTTAGTGTTTCATATTTTCTTCTAGCGAAGGAACTCATACACTATAATCATATCTCTTCTTGATCTTCCTTTTGATATGCTAAACACCTTCAGCTCCCTATACATTTCCTAGGAACATATCTCCTACAGCCCTCAAATGACTTTTTGTAACTTTTCTGATCCAGTGAAATTCTCCTGCATCCTTTTTAAAGTGTGGAAGGCAGAACTATATGTAGTATTTTATTATCAGCATGTCTAACAGGTAAAAATCACCTCCCCTCTTTAGTTCTAACAGAACCTGGAATGTAAGACTGTGTTGGCACCCTGGTGAAATATTCTTGCTAATGAATGAATTACAAAGGTAGCGACATGACATAGAAGGCCTCTTAAAAGCCAGGTGGCCAGGCAAGTGAGAGACAGCAGATAGTGGAATCATTTTCTCACATGACAAAATAAAGCATAAAAGAGGAACTGGCAAAATCCTAAGTGATAGGGACAGAAAAGCACCACTTGGCTACAAACCAGGCAACTTAATTACCATCATGACTTGTTCAGGAACACAGATTTTTAACTCCACTGTGATCCAGGTCTATGCTGCTCCAAAGGATGCCAAGGAGAGGAAACTGTGTGATTCCACAATTAGAACTGGGCTGGACACACATCAGAAGCAGCAAGGCATGAACTGCTACAATTTGTTAGACTCCATACCCTTTATGAGCCGATTAAAATGTTCCAGTAAAACCAAGAAACAAAAGGAGAGGGAAAATTTTGCAAAGCACTAGCAGAAAATGACACATCTCAGAAACACTGAGTGTTGATTGCAGTAATGTGAATTTCTTAGAAGAATTGGAGCGTGACATTTTTAACTGTAAAGATAATGAGAAATAAATTAAATTATGGACTCCACAGGATGCTTGTAGAAAGTGGTTGATAAAGGTGTTAGATTGAAAATCAGGGAATCTCCCAAAGGGGTAGGAGACAGTATCTCAGCTAAATAGGACACTGACTAAGGACAAGAGTGGTGCTCAGCTGGGGAAGCTGGAGAGGATCCCTGGGC